CCAACCTTCCTTCCGAGGAGTGGCTGGTGGGTTTGAACCGCCAGCCGTCTGGTTAGCAGGCAGGTGTCTTAGCCACTATGCTACCAGAGCTCCCCAGATGATGTATAGCAATGGGCAAATTGGTTGCAAAGGACCTCTTTCAAGTGCTGAAGAGCAAAAATGTCTTGCTGAGGACTAAGTTGTTCCTGACACAAGCCATGGTATTTTCAGTCTCCTCATATGCAAGTGAGAGCTGGACAGTGAATTAGGAAGACAGAAGAAGAGTTGATGCTTTTGAGTTGTGGTGCTGGTGAAGAATGCTGAAAGTACCAGAGACTGCTAAAAGATCTAACAAATCTGTCATGGAGGAAGTACAGAATGCTCCTTGGAAGCAAGAATGGCCAGACTTCATCTCACCTACTTTGGTCATGTTGTCTGAAGAGACCATTCCCTGGAGAAGGGATGTCATGCTTGGTAAGGTGGAGGGTTGATGAAAAAGGGGAAGGCCCTCAATGAGATGGATTGACACAGTGGCTGTGGTGATGGGCTCAAGTATAGCAAGGATTGTGGAGCTGGCATGGAACCAAGCGGTGTTTCATTCTGCCTTGCATAGAGTTGCTATCAGTCAGAGATGACTCGATGGCACCGAACAACAACACAACTGCTAACTTAAAGATTAAGGGGCTCTAGTGGTGCAGTGGTTAAGGTATTTGGCTGCTAACCGAAAGGTTGGTGGTTCAAACCACCAGTTGCTCTGAGGAAGAAAGATGAGGCAATCTGCTTCTATAAGATTTAGAGCCTTGGAAACCCAATGGGGGTGACTATGAGTTGGAATCTACTCGATGGCAGTGAGTTTTGAGTTTGAACCTAAAAGTTGGTGGTTCAAACCCACCTGTCAGTACTGCTGAAGAAAAGCCCTGGTGTTATGCTTCCATTAAGATTATAGCCAAGAAAACCCTATGCAACAGTTCTGCTCTGTAATACACAGGATCACTGTGTGTTGGAATTGACTTGACAGCAACTAATATTATGGGTTAGGAGCTCTGGTAGCATAGTGCCTAAGGCACTTGACTGCTAACCAGAAGGCTGGCGGTTCAAATCCACCAGCCACTCCTTGGAAGGAAGGTTGGGCAATCCTACTTCTGTAGTGATACTGCCTCAGAAACCCAAGGAGGGGTCGCTATGAGTCGGGGCCGACTCGACGGCAAATAACAACAACAACAACAACAACATTATGGGTTAAACTATTAGCCTAGTTTAATTGACTACTAGATCTCTACCTATAGTGATGAAGTCTGTGATGTCAGTCGCTAGAGCATTTCCACCAAGATTTCCACTGACATCTGAGATGCAACTTGGTTAAAAGTAATTCGTCTTTCATCACCAAACCTCCTACATTTTGTTTTTCCCTATATTTATGCTAATGACATCATGAGATAATTTTCTCAGTGTTTTAATTTAGTATTTAATTTTAGACTCCTTCCAAAGATTCTAAGGAGATAATCATAAATGTGCACAGATTTAGTATGAGTGTGTTCATTATTTATAGTTTTAAACAAGCAAGAATAAAGGATTAGTTAAATAAACTATGTCCAATCATACAATGGAATTCTCTATAACCATTAAAATGGTGTAAAAGAATATCCGATAACATGGAAAGTTATATTTTATTATCTTATAATAAAACAGTCTTACTAAGTGTCAAGTTGAGATACAGTACAGTATGTACGGTATGGTTCTGTTTTGATTTTTAGAAGATCATGGATGAATGAAGAATAGCTACTGAAAAAAATTATGTTTTTTTCTGGCTTATAGGATTATAATGGACTTTCAAATAAGAGAGAAAAAAACCCCTCAAATTAAGGAAAAAAACTTGGTTAAATAGTAATTTGTTCTTGAAAATGTCAAAGAGTCTTGCAAATAGTGTGCATTAAAATAATATAACTTGTATTACATGTTTTAATAATGACTGAAAACAGTGCTTAGTACATACAAGGCATTCAATAAATATTTGCTGAATGTTGAATGAAATAGTTTTTTCTTTCTATGCTTTCTTAAAAATAACTTTATAAAATTAAGAGGATCTGATGCCTCAAGTATATAGTTTTTAAAATTCTTTGAAATGTATTCATTTTTTGGAAGAAAAATTTAATAAAATAAATGAGTGTAGGTGTGATAAATGATTTCTAACATTATAAACCTTACCATTTCAGAGAGTAATGAGGCCAAAAAGGGAGCATCTGGGACTGATTGTTCAGAAAACATGTTTACTTCAGTAAAATTTACTCATAAAATGGAATCAGATGACCTTCATCTTAGAAAGGAAGCCATCTTTCTTTGTACTTCATCACAGTGTTCAGAAGAAGAACAGGTAATAAGATAGTAGTAGTACATTTGGAGAAACAATATGTGAAAAAAGAAACATTTGTCTTAAATTGAAAAAAAAAAAGACAATAAGAACATAAGAAGCATTGGCTAGTTACTGACTCACTGACTCAGACTCCTAATTCTAGGAGGAGTGTCATTGAGACACTATTGAAAATCATCACTGTACTTCATGATTTCCATAGCCAGTGTTTATGACCATAGCTTGATTAATCCCCAGTCTCCATTAAAAACCTCTTAAGAACCTGCTATCTAAAATTATTCTTGTATTGTTTTCCATCTTTTAACTTATCTCACTGCCATTGAGTCAGATCCAACTCATAGCGACCCCTCCTTGGGTTTCCAAGGAGGTATCACTATGGAAGTAGATTGCCTGATCTGCCTTCCGAGGAGTGGCTGGTGGGTTTGAACCACTAGCCTTCTGGGTAGCAGTAAAATGTGGTAGGCACTATGCCACCAGAGACTGCTAACCAGAAGGCTGGTGGCTCAAACCCACTAGCCACTCCTTGGAAGGCAGGTGGGGCAATGTACTTCTGTCGTGTTACTGCCTTGGAAACCTAAGGAGGAGGGGTCGCTATGAGTCGGATTCCACTATATGGCAGTAAGGTTTTTTTTTTTTTTTTTTTAAACTAATCTTCTGTTTGGGATAAAAGAGTTCCTTTTTTTTTTTTTTTTTTAATAATTCTTTGTGTAAAATGGAACTTTCTTTTACCTGTCTTAGATTTATTTCTAGAAGCTCTGGTAGCATAGTGGTTAAAACATTCAGCTGCTAACCAAAAGGTTAGTGGTTTAAACCCACCAGATGCTCTATGGGAGAAAGATGAGACAGTCTGCTTCCATAAATATTTACAGCCTTAGAAAGCCTGTGGGACAGTTCTGCTATGTCCTAGAGGGTTGCTGTAAGTTGGAATTGACTTAGTGGCAGTGGCTTTTTTTTTTTAGGTTCATCTCTCTCAGATTTCATGTAGAATCTGTTATCTGGGTTTTTCAGGATTTGGTCAATGACTGTTGGGTGCTCTTTTCCTTATCTGAAAGACTCTTTAGCTACGGTCTTTAATTATCAAAGAATCCTAGTGCAAGCACCTGTATTTTCTTAGCGATTTGAGTTTCTGCTTTCTAGCTCATCAAATTTTCCCTGTGATGTTGTGGACAGATTTATGATATTGTGATTTTGTACAACAACATATATCTCTGTTGGAAATCTGTTTTTATATAGCAGAAGTTTATGGTTCTTTATTTCCAGAACTTTCTCCCCCTGAGGTAATTTTGAACCATGAATTCTTAATTTTTTTTTTTTCCTACCCTGGAGGATTCATTCTCTACTGGCAGTCACTAGCCACTGGGATTACATTACATATCAAACCTTTGAACAGCATGTGAGAAGCAAGAAAGTGTTGAATGGCGTTTTCTAGTAACTTGAAAATTTGTCCTTCAGGGCTTCACTGAGATGGGATGCTTGGGAGGTGGGGAACGAGGTGGGGGAATGTTCCTGTTTCACAGATGGGAAAACTGAGGTTAAGTAATCTACTCTCGCTTACCCCGTGCATGAGTCTAGAGGACAGAAGTGGAAGTCAAGTCTCTTGAAACCTATTCCCTGACCACTGCCATGGCTACATGAATCTGGTCCATCATGCACAGCTAATTAACAAAAAACATAAGGGGATTTTATCAACTGAAGGGCTATAAGGTCAGCTTCTTTATTTTTGGTTGTTTCATTTTGCCATCAATATGTCTTCACTGTATTTTCAGATTGTGATGGATGAAAGCCAAAGAGTTGGCAGTTCTTTTCAAGGTGATCTGAGTCGGGCAGGAAAGGTGAAGGTAAGGCATGATTCAATTTTCTTCTATGGCAGAAAAACAGGATTTGTTTGCTGTCTCTCAGACAAAGTTGGAGAATTAAGAATTTTATTGTCTTTTTTTTTTTTTTTTTTAAATTCATGTTTGAGCCCCTTAAACTATCCTTGCTTGGCTGAGTTGTGGATGTTTTTTCCTCAGAGCTTAACAAATGAGAAGAGTGCTTTGGTAGAAGAACACGACTCTGGTTCCCCTTAGCATATACTGTTAAGAGAAATGACAATACAACAGATCCTCAAATTTTAATACTAAAACCATCACATGGAAGATAAATGTCTTACTGTCACTTGGATGACAAGAAATTATGACCGTTATGTGTCTGGAAACAGTGGAAGCTGCCACATTAAGTCATATGTAATGGCCATGGTCTGGCTTGTCACATTGAGGGATGAAAGACCCTTCCTGTCTTTTGAATTCCAATTATGAACTCTTAACTTTGTCATTTTAAGATATTCTGTCATGCACATGTTTTAGGCCATGGACATGAAAGGCATATGACATTATGCCTTTACTCTTCTGGGTCTCATTCGTACGGGTGGTGAAGTCATTTTCTTATTTACACTCTTTGATATTCACCTGAGATGAATTAGTTCATGTCTGAAATGTTACTGTTTTGTTAATCTAAAATGTCTCATTGTCAGTTTCCTGTGGAAAGCAGTATTCCACAAGGAATAGTGTTCATTGATATGCTGCTAGTGTGTCTGTGAAGGTCATTTGCTTTTCTTTTTACCTTTGAAGTAATTTTCAGTTGTATTTGCTCGAAAGAGAGAACACTTGATTTTTTGCCCCCTCAACCTCTCTCATGCTTTATCTGGAGCAGGATGATTTTGTTTTGAATGAACTTCTCTCTCCTGCTTTCTTTGGTTTCGTCTCTAGCTTTTCAGAGTGCTGTAAGAAGGCATGCTGTTAGGATAATAGTCAGACTCACAATTATTATATGCTTGAGAACATAAGTAAAAAACAAAAACAAAGACAGAAACACCATTTTGTGCTATTGTGGTGGTAGTGTATATTCTAGGATAGAATCTGGAACAAAGTCCCTTTTCAAAAAATCTCCAAACTCTTTTTTTCCCTTTGAGTACAGAGATCTTACAACAGTGCCTACAAAATCCAGGCCAATTTCCAAATTTATTGCTTCTTTCACATGTCTCTGGGAGAGCACAGTGAACACAAAGACCTTTTGCTGGGACTCAAAGATCCTGGAAAAGTAGATCTAGCTGCTCAGTTGAGTGTTGTGGAATTAGATCCATTGACTCTTGTCTTAGGCTGGTTCCTCTAGAGAAGCAAAACCAGTGAAGCTTATATGTATATATATCGGTGGTGGGGGGGAGTGGAGAAGAGCAGAGGGAGAGAGAGAGAGAGAGAGAGAGAGAGAGAGAGAGAGAGAAGAAATTTATCTCAGAGAAATGGCTCTCATAGATGTGGAGGCTGGCAAGTCCCAAGTCTGTGGGTCAGATGTCAAGCTGGAGACTTATTCTGATTCACGCAGCTGCAAGGGCTGATGAACTCAAGATCAGCAGGCAGTATAGCAGGCTGCTGACTTCAGTGGATGACGGATCTTAGATCAGCAGATGAAATGGCAGATTGTTGGCTCTCAGGCTGCAAAGGCAACAATCCCAGGATCAGCAGGCAATACGGCAGGCCACTGTTTCAGCTCCAAAAACTGGATGAAAAGCTAGACGCAGGATCCGGATCCAACAGAAAGCCCCAGTATTTTCTCAAGTCATCCATATATATATTTTGGAAGCAGGCCACACTCCTGAAAAGCTCCCTTTCAACTAATTGGCTGCTAATAGCATATCTTACCAGATTTCATCATGGGAATGACTGTATAACATTTGCTTAAACCACTTAGAATCATGGTCTAGCTAAGTTGACACACAACCTTAACTATCACAACTCTAAATTGCATTTTTCCATTATATCTAGTATGCATAAAAATGATATTACTCTTTTTGTAGGTAGACAATTTCCTAGATTTAGAAGATTTGGACATGGATGAAGATATTAAGCCCCAAATGAGCAAGGGTATGTTTTTTATTTTTCTCTCTATACTGATTGACCTCTTTGTAGAAACTACACACTGTTAGATAGTTTTTCTGTTTTAGAAATTGCTCCCTCCACCTATTCTGGAGTTGTACAAATGGTTAATGTGCTTGGTTGGTAACCAAAAATCTGGAGGTTAAAAGTGCATTCAGAGGCATCTTGGAAGAAAAGCCTCCACTTTAATTCTGGAAAAACAGCCACTGAAAACTCTTTGGAGGACAGGCCTGCTCTGACACACATGGGGTCCCCATGAGTCAGAATCGACTCGGTGGCAGCTGACACTTAGACTTCTTTCTCCTCTGAGATGGGAAAAACTGGAGTCGTGAGACTTCTTTTTCAATGAAGAAAATTTCAGCTCTTCATATTATAAAGCCTTTGGTCTTACTTGAAATACAGGTGCCTTCTCTCCAACTCGGGAGCTCTGGTGCCTAAGGCATTTGGCTGCTAACCAGAGGCTGGTGGTTCAAGTCTATCAGCCACTCCTCAGAAGAAAGATTCCATAGCGATATAGCCTCAGAAACCCAAGAAGGGGTCGCTATGAGGATGGCAGTGAGTTTTTTTTTTCTCTCCAACTTAGCACTTGATTGATTGTTGGCTGTCTCAGGTAGCACCATTGTTAGTCTAACCCTTGTTTCCTAGAAGCACATGTTGTGAACTGAGATTATTTTTGAGGGACTTAATAAAATATCAGTGATCATTAAAAAAGTCACAAAAATATTGGGATTATAAAACTAAAACAATAAAATCCAAATTTTTGCTTTTAGAAAAATTTATTAAATATGTAAAACAAAACACTTAATACTAACGTTATGTTATCTGTGTTCCTTTGGAGCACGGTCCTCATGGTCTGGACTCGGGGAGGCCTCTTCACACTGCCCCATTGAAGTCCATAAAGCCTATTTCCCTTCCTGGCTCACATTTCTGCTGAAGCGTAGGTATCCTTCCTCACTCTAAAGACTTTTGAAATGTGTTGAACATTAGGGTTATTTGTTTTGAAAACTCTCATTGCTGATTTGATATGCAAGAATATCTCAATGTCAATGTTAAATAGTAGGGAAGCGATGGTTTTCCTAGGGTTGTGGTATGTGTTGTTCACAGTCTTTAGATAGTCATAATCTTGGCCATTATTGTAGGACATGTGTCTTATTTATAATGGGACAGGCGCTAAAGTGACGGTGCTGTTGATTGGGGGTGGGGACTATCTGTAAATTGGTTGTAGAGCCCCTGCTCTGACTTCCTGACTGGTTGAATTTGAGACCCTTTTACAACTGGAAGCAATTAATATATTTAATCTACTCAGAAAAATCCACCCTACTCCATGAAAGAGGTTGTTTCCCAAGTACACACTATTAGCCAGTATACATTGCAGATTTTTAGTTACTTATTTGACTCAGATGAGATCAGAGATTTAAAGAAATCACATCCTCCAGGGAGAAGTTCTCTAACTTTAATATCCTAGGTAGCTCTGGCTTTCCATGTAAGAGCCATTTAGGGGCTTGGATGGGATTAGAAGGAAGAGCTAAAGACTTATCAGGAAGCTGCATTTGCCAGACAAGCACATTGCTTTCTGGTGTCACTGTTGGGAAGGGGTGCTTGTTACAAATGCGTGTTCCTGAGTCCTGAACTCTAGAGAGAGTCTAATCGAGATAGTCTTTGGTGGTAGGTAGGGATCGGCCTTTTTAACCAGTATCCCTGACGATTCTTATACCAGTGTTCTATGGATGACACTTGGAGACAAATGGTTCTAGTTGGCATGTAGTTCATTTGCACTGTAAAATTAATCCTATAGGAGGCCACAACAGTGCATGTGTTGGACATTTTGTGATGGTTTAAATCTCTTGCCTCCTGCCTGTAATGAGAAAGTCTTATTCTGATACAAAGTGACATAGGCAAAGAATTGCCTGAATAAGTGCTTTTACCAAAACCTTGTCTGATTCTTGTTATATCACATCTTTCAAATTAGCCTTTTTACCTTTTCCATTATTTTCACAGTGTTTTCTTTAAACATTTTAAAGTTTATATGTGTGTGCGTGTGTGTGTGCATTTATTACTAGCTCTATTTATGTATTTAAAAAAAATGAGTAAAAAGGTCTCTCTAGTAAGATTTTTCTAGAAATCAGGTAACAGGCCGTCTAGCATTTGTGTATAAAAGGTTGCTGAGGCTGAACCAAGTCTCAGTGGAGCTTCTCACATATAAACTAATGTGAAAAACCCAGGCTGAAAGGCAGCCCAGCCGTCAGTGATCTATTCCAATTACTGAGAAGACCACCAGGGCTTCACAGTTTTCATAATGCACAATCTGGGTCACTTGAAAAGAAAATAATGAAATAGTCTGTGCCAAGGTGAATTTTAGTTTGGGCTTAATTTGTATTATACTTCAGGAATGTGAGCAGAAGGCAAATATTTATATCAGATGGGAAATGTGACATTTTAAATAGGCAAGTTGCTTGTATAATTTTGGCAGCTGGGAGGTTTACTGATTAGATTATGTTGTTATTGTTTAAGCAACAGATTTGCCTTAGGCAGCAAGAAGTGGGTTGTATATTGTTTTTTTGCCATCAACTTTATTTGTTCACCTTATTCACTTTCATTAAATATTCTCCAAGATTCAGGAGCATGATTCTTGGTCAATATTTGGTTTATCTTTTTGGGAGCCCAGGTGGGGAGTGAAGATTGTTTTTCAGAGGAGCCAACTTTGTGCGGTGGTATTGAGCAGATGTCTGAGAGTAACAGTGCCTGAAAGTTTGATGCCTGTAATTACTTGACATCAAGTTAGCCACAATTTTTCTCCTTGGAATTTGTGGTGGGGTAGTTAGCCTGAACTTCATGGTACTAAGCATTTGTAGTGACTGTCATGGCCAGACTAGCTGACTCAAACTGTTATCCAACAAAATTATTATTTGGGATGGGTATTACTCACAATAAGGACCTCTGGTAACACAGTGGATAAGGCATTTGGGTGCTAATCAGAAGGTCGGCCTTTTAAACCCATCAGCTGCTCCACAGAAGGAAGATGAAGCAATCTTCCTCTATAAAGATTTACAGCCTTGGAAAAACAATGGGGGTTGCTATAAGTTGGAATTGACTCGATGGCAGTGTTTTTTTTTTATTATTATTACTTAAAATGCTGAGGCCAATAGAGTAGGGAGAATCTTTCGATCGTTTTTATTTCTTCCCTCCTCAGTTGTCCCAGCCTGTTCTCTGGCTGAGTGTAGTTGTACTAATTTGCACATGTCATTTAGCTGGTGAATATACTTAGTTGATTGTGTTGCTTGAGAATGGGTGCTTACTCCTGCTCAGAGATTGGCTGCTTTATTTGGATTTCATTTTCAAGTTCTCCAGTACTTTCAAATGGTCCATTAATGTCTAAAGTGCAGACAGATAGGGGGATGAATCACTTCTTTTCCCCCTAACACTTTTCGCTTCTGCAACTTTATCCCTTTCACGACACAATTGTTTTCTGCTTTGAATTTTTGTTGATACCATGTATTTTCATTAATGGAAGTCATGTTGAATCAAGGAACATTTGTGAAATTTTATTTTGGAATATAGATTTTGATACATATTATATGGGACACAAACGTCCCTCTGGACTCTGAGGGGGTAGGATTATGTGGGACAAACTTGTTACTCTGGACTGTGGAGATAAGATTATGTGGGGCACATATGTGTCTCTGTACTCTGTACCACCTTCTAGATTCTTGACAGGTGCATACAATTTAGGGTGCCTGAAATGTGTATCTGTGCAAACATGGAATCATTGTGAGAAAGGCAACTTCCAGATAATGCACAGAAACTTGGAAATATACTTACAGGGTTCATCTCCCAGTTAAAAAAAAAAAAGCCAAATTAGACAAAGGTTTTGCAAAATCATACCTCCAGAATGTATCACTTCACACAATACTCTGTAAAAATAGTAATTTGCTGCACGTGCCCATTTCTTCCATTTCAAACAGTTGTACAGGTCCCTTCCTGATGGCTGTGTTCAGTGTCAGTGGGAAAGCAGCTGCCCAAAAACCCCAGAGGAGGAGAATGTAGGTGGGTGCTGTATCTCCTGCAGGTCATGAAAAGGTTAAGCAACTTTAGGTAACTTTATGCATGCACTGACAGAGTGATGCTTCATGATAGATTATGAAATGTTCTTTTTCATAACGAATGTGATGCCATTCCTCTTCAATTTTCCATTTCTGCCATAGTAGACCATCTGATTGTCTTATTCAAAATGGCCAGTACCAGTCCATTTTAGCTAACTAATACCTAGAATATTGATCTTCAAGCATTCCCTTTCATTTTTGACACCTTCCAATTTTCCTTATTAATGTTTGCAGCTGTTTCTTCTCATTTTGATTCATGCCACATAAGCAAATGAAGATCCTGAAAACTTTATTCCATCTAAGTCATTAGGGTCAACTTTACTTTGAGGTAGCAGCTCTTTCTCAGTCATACTTTGAGTGCCTTCCAATCTGAGGGGCTCATCTTCTGCACTATATCAGGCAGTGTTCTGCTGCTATTCATAAGGTTTTCACTGGCCAATTTTTTCAGAAGCAGTGCACCAGGTCCTTCTTCCTAGTCTGTCTTAGTATGGAAGCTCTGCTGAAACCTGTCCACCAGGGATGACCCTGCTGGTATTTGACATACCGGTCACATAGCTTCCAGAATCATAGTAACATGCAAGCAATCACAGTACAATGTTCCTATGTCTATAAGGAAGACCTCTGTCCTGAGTGAAGTACAGCTAGAATGCCCCTTATAAAAGAGAATGTCCAGACATTGTCTCATCTATTTGGTCATGTTGTCAGAAGGGACCATTCCCTGGAGAACGATCTCATGCTTGGTAAAGTAGAGGGTCAGTGAAAAGGGGAAAACCCTCAATGAGATGGATTGACACAGTGGCTGCAATGTTGGGCTCAAGCATAGCAAAGACGCATACTATGGCACCTAGTATAGGCAGTGTTTCATTCTGTTGTACGTATGTCGCTATG